CGCGACATCTTTATGTTCATAATAACGCCAGTGCCTTGAGTGTGGTACCTAAAAATGCGGATACAATCTTTTTTTTTCCCCTCCAAAGATGTCACGAAAGCAAAACTTTCCAAAACAAAATTCTGTTCACACCCTAATTAAAACTGCAGGCGATATTTCAGTGACCACTATAGGCTTTATTACAAGTGGCTCTTAAAAATGATGCGAGTCGGCATTTTGCTCCCAGCGCTGCGTATTCCTGTACAAGCTGAGTGCTTATTTTAAATTTCTTTAGCCGACACATTTACTGGAGTATCCGACTGCGATCCGATTGCGAGACTGAGCTCTCCGCAGGTGCCAGGAGCTATATGGAATAGTGGATGGAGCTGTGAAACTGGGAAGGTTGCGGGTTCAAATCCCACTACCGCTATACCCCTGAACAAGCAATGCGCTTCGCCTGAATGGCTCCAGTAGAACTTCCCAGCTGTGTGAATGGGGGGGATGTGGTCCGCTTTCGATAAAAGCGTCGGCCAACTGAATGAACGAAGTAAGGTGGGGAAAAAACAGTCTGCAATCCAGGTTACTCAAGGAAAGGCATAGCAGGTGCGAAGTACAGATCAATCCTGAAAATATGAATAATCCCGGTTTGAGAGGAATTCCGAGCTAAGGCATGCGGCTGCGGACTGAGACGTCCTGTGTGTGCCTGCCTGCGGGCCCAGGTGACTGCGTCATGGGCGGCGGTGAAGCTGTGGCCCACTCCAGGCCGTACATGGCGTCGATCCAGCACGACGACAAGCACGAGTGCGGCGGCTTCCTGATCTCCGGGCAGTGGGTGATGACCGCGGCGCACTGCTTCTCCGAGCCGTGAGTCCGCCGCTGCCGCCACCTCTCCGCCCACCCCCCTCCCCGCGTCCGGTTCCGTCTGCTGCGGCTCCGCGGCTCCCGTCCCGACAGGGGCCCGGAAATTAAAGATCATAAACGGCGGTCTGGGTCATTTGACTCATGGTGGGTTTTTTTTAAAGGTCCGACAAGAGCATCAGAGTGGTGCTGGGAGCCCATTCCTTGTCCACGCCGGAAGACAGCAAACAGGTTTTCAGCATCGCATCAAGCCACCCTCACCCGGAATTCTCCTTGGAAAACTATGACAACGACATTGCGCTGCTGAAGGTAAAGGGTGCCCACCTCCTGAATAATGTTGGCATAGTGTGGTGTCAACTATATTGGGGCATACAGTGCTGTTTCAGTACGGTGCAGAGAGCACTGCTGTTTCAGTACACTGCAGAGAGCACT